AGTGGAGCAACGGGCTAGCGGGCGACTGGAGCGATGGGCTCATGGGCGACTGGCAGAACGGTCTCACGGGCAACTGGAGCTGCTCGCTTCACGGCGGCCACCCCCCCTTCAACCTCCCCCATTGTCCCAAAACTCTCGTTCACACCCCCCCTGCTGAACCCTAGCTCCACACCCACGACACCCCCCTAGCGCCACGGCCGCGGCTCCCACACATCCACCCCCCTCAGCGGCAGCTGCAGTAGTGGGAGATGGAGGAGGAGGAGGAGCAAGTGACGACACACACACCCGCCACCCCCATACCCACCACCCGCAGATGTTCGAGGGCAAGAGGCGGCAGAGGCGGTTCGCGGGCTGCAGGGGCGGTTCGCGGGCTGCAAGGGCGGTTCGCGAGCTGCAGGAGGGGCAGCGCACGGGCCCCCCAAGGGCGCCACGGCGGGTGACGGGAGAGGGGCCGCGCGCGGGCCCCGAGGGCGCCTCGACGGGCGATGGGAGGGGCTGCGCGCGGGCCCCCAGGGCGCCTTGATGGGCGACGGGAGGGGGCGATGCGCGGGCCCCCAGGGCGCCGCGACGAGGCGATGGAAGGGGGACACGCGCGGGCCCCCAAGGCGCCGCGACGAGGCGACGGGAGGGGGCGGCGCGGGGGCCCCCAAAGTGCCGCGACGAGGCGGCGGGAGAGGACGGCGCGCGGGCCTCCAGGGCGCCGCGACGAGGCGACGGGAGGGGGCGACGCGCGGGCCCCCAAGGCGCCGCGACGAGGCGACGGGAGGGGCGGCGCGCGGGCCCCCAAAGTGCCGCGACGAGGCGACGGGAGAGGATGGCGTGCGGGCCTCCGGGGGCGCTTCGACGGGGCAGGTAACCGCCGCGCGCCTCGGGGCGCACGGCGGGCAGAAAACCGCCACGCGCCCCGAACGCCCGGCAGGCAGAAAACCGCCATGCGCCAGGAGCGCGTGGCAGGAAGAAAAAACGTTGTGCGCCACGGGGCGCGCGACAGACAGGACAGCAGTGGAAGCTAACGGTGGGCCCACAGGCTAGGAGCGTGACTGCTCTGATAGCATGTCAGAATCGTAGCCGAAAGTTAGAACAGGAAAGGGGATTTGCACTAGCAGCAGTTGAGATGCACATAGGAAACCCTAATTGGGTTGTACTCGCTATAGCGTACCCCACTCCATGCTAGACAAACTACACATTCTGACACCGTCCACTCCGAGTTCCTAGGGTCGTTCGTCGTAGTTTACCTTGATGACTTCCTCATCTTCTCGAAAACAAAGAGGAGCATGTGCTGCACTTGCAGAAGGTCTTCGAGGCCTTACGGAGGGAGCAGCTGTACGCAAAGCAGTCGAAGTGCGAGTTCTTCCTTCCAAAGGTCGAATTTCTAACCCACATCATTTCCGCTAGTGGCATTAGGACCGACCCGAAGAAGATCGCAACCGTACAGTATTGGGTGGCACCGACCTCGGTCAAGGAGATGCAGAGCTTCCTAGGATTTGCTAATGACTATTTTCGTTCCGTTCAGGGTTACGCTTCCATCGCTAGTCCACTCATTGACCTACCTCGAAAGGGCGTGGATTACGCTTGGGGTCCAGTGCAGCAGTAGACGCTCGGGTAGATGAAGCAGTCGCTCACGTCTTCACCGACGTTGTCGTACTTGGATCCTTCTCACCCATACGCTGTAGTGACCGATGGTTCGGATTAGTCCATAGGAGCAGTACTTCTTCAGGATCAAGCCATACGTTGCAGCCGATCGCATACGAGTCGCATAAGCTGAGGGGAGCAGAGTTGAGTTATTTGCTTCACGATAAGGAGGCACTCGCGATCATCCATGCGTATAAGGTGTGGAGGTGCTACCTATAGGGGGCAGATGGTGTTATGCACACGGACCATTGCTTGCTTCACTCTCTCTAGTTGCAACTGCAGCTGAGTCGTCGCCAGGCTTGATGGGTGGAGTTCATAGAGGGGAGTTTCCACTACAGGATACCGTACAAGCCAAGCGTGCGCAACCCAGCAGATCCGCTCACTCGCCCTAGTTGCCAGCTCGCTAGCCTCACAGTCACTGCCGGCCATCAACTTCACACATCAATCTTTGAGTATGGATACACAGTAGATCCCGAATTCACACCGCAGCCGCCTGCAAGAGCAGAGGTGCAGAGTAGTATCTACATTCGGAAGGGGACAGTACGGATTTGGGCTCCCGCCTACCGCCCTCCTCGACGGCTTCTTCTTTCCGAGGCGCACGATATAGTTAGTGCAGGTCACTTCGAAGCAGATAAGACAGCTAAGACGCTTAGTTGCACGTACTTCTGGCCAAGGCTTGCAGCAGACGTAGAGGATTACATTCACTCGTGTGACACGTGTCAGCGTACGAAGTCCTCTCGACAGCGCAAGTCATGACTTTTGCAGCCGATTCCACCGCTCGACCTACCTTGGCAGGTAGTAACAATGGATTTCATCATGGCTTTACCTCGCACAGTTAGGGGTCACGACGCCATTTTTGTGGTAGTGGATAAGTTTTCTCAAGCTGCTTCCCATGCACGGCAAGGTTACAGCAGAGGAAGGCGCGACGCTGTTCGTTGATAACATAGTCCGACTGCACGGGGTTCCAGACTCCATCATTTTCGACCGCGGCCTTAGATTCACCTCGGAGTTGTGGAAGCAGCTTTTTGCAGTGTTTGGGACTCGCTTAGCCATGTCGTTTGAATACCATCCAGAGACAGACAGACGGACTGAGCTCGGGAACCAGACCTTGGAGTAGATCCTTCGTAGCATCACGATGCACGACGCAACCGCATGGGACAAGAAGCTGAGCAGGGCCGAGTTCGCATACAACAACACACACCACTCGTCCACAGGCATGTCACCGTTCTTGGCACTGTATGGTCAGCACCCTAATGTCTCCATTCAAGTCGATCTCACACCCACATTCATTCATGATCACGTGAGGAAGCACCTTAAGCTCGCAAATGTACGCATGACATGCATCACCAACCGCAGTCGTCGTGAGGTGTTGTTTGCAGTCGGCGACTGTGCTCTTTTGGATTGCCGCAACCTTCGACTGCCATAGGACAGCAAGCTTCGTCCACGTTCTATTGGTCCATTCGTCATAGAGCGCGCACTTGGTCCAGTCATATACCACCTCCGCCTTCCAGCTCATTTCCGTATGCACCCGTCATTCCACGTGTCTCTTCTTCGTCCTTACACCAATCCCAACGCCACATTATCGGGCAGTGATCGCACTCCACTACCGGTAGCTATTGATCCCGACGAGTCCGATTACCAGATCCAGCGCATCCTCAGGTACCGTCGTCGTCTTCAGGGAGGTGTCTCTTTCATCGACTTCTTGGTTCGTTGGCATGGTTACGACGCAGCAGACGACAGTTGGCTTCCTTCGTCCTCACTGTCTCCTGACAATGCTTGCCTCCAAGCGTACCTTCAGTTTGCAGGTGCCGCGGACGTCGCCTTCTTGGGAGGGGGTAGTGTTCAAAGGTTATTTACCCTAAACATTCCCCCAACACAATCCCAACCTTATTTCCATCCAATCCCTTCGGGTTTTCCTTTATTTCCTTGTGTCACGTGGCACTCTAGTCTTCTTGCTTAACAATCATTTGTCCCATAAACTACTTTCCAACTATTGGTCTTGCATGCTACTTAAACCTTGCTTTTACTTGCCATATCAACCAATTCTCATTCAATTATTGCTCAGTAACTTCTTCGCCTATTTGCCAACTCTTCTTTCGCCAAAGCCTTCCGCCGCGCTTTATCCTCAATTTAGTCAACCCCGCTGTTCCTTCGCGGATTTAGGTTAAGGGGCCTAACATGAACTATTGTGTAGTCATTTTAATTCCTTACACTTGCACCATCACTTGACGGAGCAAGTTAGCGCCTGGCAGGTACAGTCGATGCTCAGCCTATCACAAAACATTTGCTCCTCACAATTAGAAATTTAGTCACTCGCGAACGTTTTGCCCGTGAGTGACTAAATTGACCATTGTGCCGATTTCAGGGTACAGTCACCAAGCTGAGGAAGAAAAACATCTACAGTTCATAAACAACAACGGCTGCCCGTCATCAGAGAAGTTAACCTGGTTACGAAATTAAAACCCTTGACTCGATTCACGTTGCAATTTCATATTAGTCACATTTTTGTCAGTGGCGACAAAGGCGAACATGGCGAAATGTCTCGAGCATTTTCACGCACATGCCGCCCGCCTATCTGGTGTTCTTGAAATGGGCACCGATTGTAACAAGTTGCGGGTCTCAACCGTCGATCGATTGAGATCGACGATTTCCCGCGTCGTGTTACTGTACCGTCGAGAAAGTCGACGATTTGCTGCATATTGGAAGTCAGTGCGAATTTGAGACACTGTCGCTTTCGCCAAAGCAACGCGCTTTGTCGGGCCCGCGTGTTCGCCCCATGAACGCGGGTCTGCGGGTATAAAATCGAGCTTGATACGGAAGTGTAATTGGGTTTGCGAAAGCAGCTCAGTGGTCCTATCTTCCCGTGTAGGTCGTTAGGTGTCAGCCAATGCTGTGCGACGGTCCTCCTCCTATCTGTCCGTACTTCGTCCAGAGTAACCTTTCGCGCCTTCGGGAAGTGTGGTTTGGTTGCATCCATCCTCAAGCGTGCTATCCAGCAGTCGCCTTTACAGTAGTAGAAATGAAGAGAGCAACAAAGTCCTCCCAACCCAATTTTGAGCAGCGCACCACCCATAACTCTCCGTACCCAACCGCATGGCCCTCGTGATGGTCGGCATTGCTGCATGATTGAACTTGATTGGGCAAAACCGTAATATATCTCTTGAGTGACGTCCGCCACGGTCGCCACGTTCGAGCACGTGACAGACAAATTGTACAGTCAGAGAGCTAAGAAAGCGGCGGTTTAGGTTAGGTCACCGTCCCTCGCCACCACCAACTGGTAAAGCTTGTGCGCGAGCAACAGTGTTCTGCCGTGAGACCCGTCGCCACTGCTAGGAGCATCGCCAGCTCAGGCTGAAGCGTCAGACCCAATGCCAGTCACCATCGGTCACGGTACGATAATGCCCCTCCTGCACGCCCGCTTTTCCCGCTGTTAACTTCCTCGCCCGCCGTTCCAGGATGTCGTTTCGCCTCTTCTCATATGCTCTTCTAGACCATCGCGCCAACCTTTGCACGAGCTCTCTACCTGCTTCCAATGCCTGCTTTCCCATGTTGTAGTGATACACATTGACACGAGCCCTACCTCCATACCTGTTCCCATGCCTGCTTGACGTGCCTCCATCCGACTTGTTACCCCTACTTCATTTCCCTCCCCTCTCCTTCTCCTGTCGTCTCACCTTACCGCCTTTCGCGCCAATCATGGACAACTTCAAACCAAACCTCTTCACGTTTTTTTTCCTGTCCATCCGTGCTCCCCGTCCCTGCTCCCTATCCTGTTCCGCAGCCCTGCCATCCGGCAACCCCGCAACCCCGCAACTCGCAGCGGCGCTGGAGGCCAACGAAGAGTTACCGCCGGCGGGTCTCTCCACCAATCCCAGCCCGTCCAGCGAGAGCGGAAGCGCCCGCTCCTTCAAGCCCGTCCGCACGAAGGAGCCGCGCAAGTCTTCCTCCTCCGGCGCCTCCTCGTCGTCGCGCGCGTCGCGCGCCTCGCAGCCAGGCAGCCTCCGCGTGCCCAAGTCGCCTCGCTCAAACACCTCCTCCTCCTCCCCCGACCAGCCTACTACTACTAACGCCGTAGACCAATCCAGTACCCGCGAACAGTCCGCGCGTGCTAGCGGCTCGCAAAGCGGCGGCTCCCGCCGGTCGCGCCATAAGGCGAACTCTTCCGCGGACTCGCTGTCAAGCGCTTCCGCCGTCACCACGGCGTCGGACGATGGCGCGGGCGACGCGGCAGAATTAGCAGCAGCACCCGCGGAACCGCCTTCCACCGCCGCCACGTCCGCGCCTTCCGCCTCCACGCGCAAAAGCGCGGCTGCGAGAAAGGAGCGGGCGGCGCCGCCGGAGGGGGACGAGGAGGGTGGGAACGAGGGAGAGGGGGAGGAAGCGGGCGCTGGAGAGCGGGAGGGGGAAGGGGAAGAGGAGGAGGAGGAGGACGAGGCGCCGGCTTTGCAGCGCGTGCAACGATCCACCACGGCTCCGCATTACGAGCGCGTTAAAGGCGCCGCGGGCGCGGACGAGCCGCGGCCGATGCGCGTGAGCACGAGCTACGACGCGCGGGGCAAGCGAGGGCTGTTACTTTCGCCGAACACACATCGCGTGGTTTCGTTCGCCAGCGACGTGAAGCTTCCTGAAGGGTTCGAGGGCGAGGATGCGGAAGCGTTTAGCCGCAACAGCACTGGCGGGTTGATGGGGTATCAGCAGGTTGGGGGTTTGCCGCGCCCGTTATCGGCACCTTCGTTAATGGCGCAACTGAACTCGATGCTGACGCCGTCAAGGTCTGTGGGGAGTTTCACGGAGAGCGTTGGCGTCAGCGGAATCGCGGTGTACGTGGGGCCCAAGGTGCGTCGGAGTGCATGCATTTTGATGTCAATTCATGATAAAGAACACTGTCGAAGGGATTGCGCGAAGTAAGGATAAGAATTAATTACGGAAAGTGTAACACGAAGCGATTAGGGTTCAGTTGTACACTCGTAGTCTTCCTAAGATAATGGCGTGGTGGCATTGCGCAATGTCTTGCTCCCTGTTGCCCCTTTCCTCCTTCGTTCGTGCTGTTGTCACTCCGCTCGAATCGCTCCCTTCTCCTTTCCCTTCTCTCCCCTCACTCCTCTCTTTTCCCTCCCCTCCTTTTCCTTCCCTTTTTCTGTCTCGTCTTCCTTCTTCTCCTACTCTCCCCGATCATCTCCAGTCAGTCTTATCTCCCATAATGCCAGCCATGCCACGCCATTCTTTTCCTCCCTGCCACCTCCCCGTGCCACCTCTTCATGCCACCTCCCCGTGCCACCTCTTCATGCCACCTCCCCGTGCCACCTCCCCATGCCAGCTCCCCCCACCTCTGGCAACCCTCACTCACACCTCCTTCCCCAGCTTCCCTCCCTTCCCCCACTCGGTCGAACGACCTAATGATTCTCTTTCATCATCTTATGCCTTTCCCCTCTTCGTGCCCCTTCACCCCTCATTCCTATTCCCGCTCATGTCTCTCCTCTTCATGTCCCCCTCTTCATGTCTTCCCCCTCGTTCCATCCCCTCCAATGCCTCTAAATTTTCATGCCTCCTCCGTAGTGTCCCCCCCTCATGCTCCCCCCCTCATGCCCTCCCCCTCATGACTTTCCCTTTCATACCTCCCCCCTCGTGTCTCCCCCAGTACTACTTCCCCCCTCTCATGTCTTTCCCCACTCATACCTCCCCCAGTGCGACCTCCCCTCCCCCTCATGTCATGCCTCCCCCGGTGCGACCTCCCCTCCCCCTCATGCCTCCCCCGGTGCTTCCTTCCTCCCCCCCCATGCAACTGCTCCGCGCGACCAAGGCGTTGCTCATGGAAATTCTCTTCTTGCTCTCGTGCTACCCCCAGTCATACCTCCCCCGGTCATACCTCCACCCGCCCATACCTCCCCCGTTGCTGCTTCCCCGCTCATGCCTGCCCCCTTCTTCCGCCCAGATGCAACTGGAAGACCGACCAATGCGCTGCTCATGAAGATCCCCTTCTTCCCCCTCATGCCCTCCCCACTCATGTCTTTCCCCCCTCATACCTTCCCCACTTGAGTCTCCCACTGCTTCCCCTCTCTCACGACTTTTCCCCCCTCATTCCTGCTCTACCTACCCCATATGCAACTGTTCCGAGTGACCAGGTCGCTGCTCATGAAGATCCCCTTCTTCCCCCTCATACCTCCCCATCGTGTCTTCCCTCCTCCCCCAGGTTTTCTTCCCCCCCCGCACCCCCCTCAGATGCAACTGCTCCGCGTGACCAGGGCGCTGCTCATGAAGATCCCCTTCTTCCCCCCTCATACCTCCCCATCATATCCTCCCCGCTCATGCCTCCCCCGGTTCTACCTCCCTCAGATGCAACTGTTTCGCGTGACCAGGGCGCTGCTCATGAAGATCCCCTTCTTCCGCAAGCAGCTGGAGACCACAGCGCCAGATGGCAAGCTGCAGGTGACGTGGCATCTGATGGCGTGGCACGGAATGACGTGATGTGATGTGTCGTTGTGTTGCGTGGCGTGATGTGGTGGCGCATTTGGTGGCAAGGCCTGGAGTGTTGTGGTGTGGTGTGGTGTGTGTGTGTGTGTGTGTGTGTGTGTGTGTGTGTGTGTGTGTGTGTGTGTGTGTGTGTGTGTGGTGTGGTGTGGTGTGGTGTGGTGTGGTGTGGTATGGTGTGGTGTGGTGTGGCGCGGTGTGGTAGGGAGATTTTTAACTATCTTACTAGCCAACCCTGCAATGGCCCTGTGGCTTGTGCTGTGACTGACAGCAGGCATCAGAGGACGAGGAGCTGTCGTTCATGCTGGACTGCTCTTGAGCTTCACTGGATGGACTGCTTTTGAGACGTGTGGTGTCACAATTCCCCTGTGCCCTGTGCCCTGTGCCCTGTGCCCTGTGCCCTGTGCCCTGTGCCCTGTGCCCTGTGCCCTGTGCCCTGTGCCGTCTGCCCTCTCCGTGCATGTGTGCAGACACCAGAGCACGCATCAGAGGACGAGGAGCTGTCGTTCATGCTGGACTGCGATGAAGCCACCTTCTCCCGCGTCCTCACCGTCGTGCAGTACCACAGGTATGGCGCTGTGCTCACTGTCGTGCAGTACCACAGGTACGGCGCTGTGCTCACTGTCGTGCAGTACCACAGGTACGGCGCTGTGCTCACTGTCGTGCAGTACCACAGGTACAGCGCTGTGCTCACCGTCGTGCAGTACCACAGGTACGGCGCTGTGCTCACTGTCGTGCAGTACCACAGGTACGGCGCTGTGCTCACTGTCGTGCAGTACCACAGGTACGGCGCTGTGCTCACCGTCGTGCAGTACCACAGGTACGGCGCTTTGGTGTAGGTGGCAGTACCGCAGGCATGGCATGGCAGAGTGCCACAGGTATGGCAGCGTGCCACAGGTACGGCAACTGTAGCAGGTACGGCACCCTACCACAAGTTTGGCAGTACCACTGGTATGGCAGTGGTGCAGGTACGGCACTGTGGTGCAGGTACGGCACTGTGGTGCAGGTACGGCAGCAGAACTACAACACCACAAGTACGGCACTGCTGCACGTACGGTGTTGCTGCAGGTACGGCAACATCCAGTAATATGGTTAACGTGTGCTCTCCTCGTTTCCCCCTCCCCGCCCCACCCAACCCCCAAACACCCTGCACTTCACTCGCCATCAGCCCTCGCTCCTTCTCCCCTCCACCAGTTTAGAGGCACCACCACCTCCCTTGGAAGGGCAGGTGCCCTAATGCGCTTGTTCACACCACCCCATCTCCCCCTCCTCCTCCCCCACTGTGCCTGTTCCTCTCAACCCCTCCATACCCCCCCCCCACTCCCCCACTCTCCCCTCTACCAGTCTAAAAGCCCTGAAGTGGATGAATGATGTTTTTTTTTTTTTCCACCTGCGTTCACAACTCAACTGCTTCGTACAACCCCTTTTTACCCCCCTCCTCCCCTCCACACCCCCCTTCCTCTCCCCACCTTCCTCTTCCGCCCTCCCCTCCCCCTCCCCCGACCCCTTCCTCCCCACTCTGAAGGCCCTCCCATGGATGAACAACAAGGACTTCTTGCGCAAGCGCTCCGAGCTCCACTGCTGCCCCTTACCCCGCCCTCCCCGCCCTCCCCCTTCCTCCTCCAACCAGCCTGGAGGCTCTCCCCTGAATGAACGATGAGGAGTTCTTCCGCCTGCATTTGGAGCTCCACTGCTCCTCCTTGCCTCACTGTCTTTCTTCCCTCCTCACCCCCACTCAATCTCCTCCTCATCAATCCAGTCAGAAGTCCCTCCCATGGATTTCTTCCGCCTGCGCTCTGAGCTCAACTCCCTTCTCCCCCCCATTTCCACATCCCCACTCCTCCTCCCCACACCCTTCCGCTCTTTAGCTTCCCAACCCCACCCTCCCCAACCCAATCCAGCCTCGAAGCCCTCCCATGGATGAACGATGAGGATTTCTTCCGCCTGCGCTCGGAGCTTGACTTTCTCGGCATCACTCTGCCGCCCGGCTCGCCCTGGCACCACCTCCCCTGGAAGGACGAGCGCAAGGCCGCCACCGCCGCCTCTGCCGCTGCTGCTGCCGCCTCTGCTTCTGCCTCTGCACAGCCTAAGGCATTTCCCCTCTCTCACCCTCTCAACCCCCTCCCCCCTCCACCCAATTAGTCTGGAGGCCTTGCCATGGATGAATGACGAAGACTTTTACCGCCTGCGCTCGGAGCTCGACTTCCTCGGCATCACTCTGCCGCCCGGCTCGCCCTGGCACCACCTCCCCTGGAAGGACGAGCGCAAGGCCGCCGCCGCCTCCGCCGCTGCTGCCGCCGCCGCCGCCGCTTCTGGCATTCTCAACCCCGCTGCTGCGGCTCTCGCCGCTGGGTACACGTCTAGTTCGGATACGGACGAGATTAGGGAGGTGCGCGGTGGGGCGGCAACGGCGGGGGGAATGGCTGGAGGGCTGGCGGGAATGATGGGGGCGATGGTGGGCGGGGGGATGGGAGTTGGGGGAGGAGTGGGAGGCATGGGAGGAGCGGGAGCAGGAGCGGGAATGGGAGGGGGGAGCTGGAGTGGGGGGGAAGGGGTTTGGGACGGGAAGGGCGTCGCTGATCAGTGCGCGATCCATGGTGCGGCGCAGTGTGGTGGTGGGGGGTGCGGGGCATGAGACGCCTCCGGGAGTGGGAGGGGCGGCAGGAGGAGGCGCAGGAGCAGGCGGGGCGAAATCGCTGGTGGAGGAAGACAGGCTGGACGTGGTGTACCGGTGAGTGGGCGGGAAGGGGTTGGCGGTTTGGGGTTTGGGACGGGAAGGGCGTGGCTGATCAGTGCGCGGCCCATGGTGCGGCAGAGTGTGGTGGTGGGGGTAGGCGAGGCATCGCAGGGGGCAGGAGGCGGGATGGGAGCGGGAGGGGCGGGAGGAGGAGGAGCGAAATCGCTCGTGGAAGAGGATAGGCTGGACGTGGTGTACCGGTGAGTGGGTGCAGTGGTAACCGGGTAACCAGCTGGACCACTGGTGTAACGGAGTAAACAGCTGCATGTAGTGTATCTGCAGTGAGCAGGTGAGCTGGTAACAGGGTAACTGGCTGCACGTGGATGTAACTGTGGGTGTGGAATCTTCAAGCAACTCTGTGACGTCCACCCTGGTAATGCAGTAACAGTGTAACTGGTGAGTGGGATGGGAGATATGAGCGAGTGAGGGGGTTCGACGAGTTGCATTTACGAAAGTAGGAGGGACGGCATGGAGAGCAGGGCGGGGCGGCAATCATGCGATGCTGTGTGTGTTCAGAGTGGGAAAAGACTTGCACCCTCGTCTTTCCCGAATCCCGGTCCCTGTTTCCGCTCACCGTCTCCCTTTCTCGGTCACTTTCTGCCCACCACACCACAGGCACGGCAGCGACACAGCAGCGGCGTGCACGTGCTTTGGCACCAAGGAGGCGGATGGCCACTCGCACTGGGTGGTGTCTCTCTTCCACGGCCACGTCTTCTGCGCGTGAGTTGCAAGGAGACTTTTGTTACGCATGCGTTGCAAGGAGACTTTTGTTACGCGTGAGTTGCAAGGAGACTTATGTTTTGCATCTGCGCATGGGCCACCCCCCTCCTCCTCCTCTCACGGCCACTCACACTGGGTGGTGTCTCTTTTCCACTGCCATGTTTTCTGCGCGTGAGTCGTGCTGCCCCTTCCTGTGCGTGAGTTGCTGATAAAGTGTCCTCCCATCACGGCCACTCGCACTGGGTGGTGTCTCTCTTCCACGGGCGCGTGAGCTCCCCTCCCCTTCCTCCCTTGCGCGTGCGAGTGCACGTGACGGTGAGTCACAGTCCTTGCGTTGCCGTGTGCGTAAATTGCTAATTAAGTGGCTTCCTCTCACGGCCACTCGCACTGGGTGCCCACGTCTTCTGTGCGTGAGCCTCCCGCCTCCTTCCTCTTGTGTGTGCGTGAGTCGCATTCCTTCACGTGTGCGGTAAGTCACTGCTTGCATGTCCTCCCCTCACCTCCACTCGCACTGGGTACTCTTGCTCGTTCACGGCCATGCCTTCTGCGCGTGAACCTCCTTCCTCTTCCTCCGATTGCTCTACCTCTTCCTCTTGTGCATACCTCATCCTCTACCTCTTCCTCTTGTGCATACCTCATCCTCTACCTCTTCCTCTTGTGCATACCTCATCCTCTACCTCTTCCTCTTGTGCATACCTCATCCTCTACCTCTTCCTCTTGTGCATACCTCATCCTCTACCTCTTCCTCTTGTGCATACCTCATCCTCTACCTCTTCCTCTTGTGCATACCTCATCCTCTACCTCTTCCTCTTGTGCATACCTCATCCTCTACCTCTTCCTCTTGTGCATACCTCATCCTCTACCTCTTCCTCTTGTGATACCTCATCCTCTACCTCACCGACCGCTTTGAGCTCTCTCTTCCCCTCCCAAGCATCACTTCTCCCACCCCCCCTCCACCCCACCACCACCCCACCGCCCATCAGCTTTTGTGATCGTGCCCCCGCGTGGCATCCGAAGCTCTTTGCCGACGACGCCTTCCTGCTCGCCGCCCTCCCCAAACCCATTACTTCAACCCCTTCCGTCACCCAATTACCCCCAATCACCCAATTACCCCCATCACCCAATTACCCCCATCACCCAATTACCCCCATCACCCAATTACCCCCCATCACCCAATACCCATCACCCATACCACCCCCGTCACCCCCATCACCCCTCCCGCCATCAGCTTCTGTGGCCGTGCCCCCGCGTGGCATCCAAAGCTCTTTGCCGAAGTTCTCCTGCTCGCCGCCCTCCCTCCCGCTCCTACCCAGGTCAGTCAATCCCCTCCTCTCCCACCTCATCCCACCCAGGCCATTCATTTCCCTTCCCTCCACCCCTGCATGCCCTGGTCAGTTCTCCCCTCCCCCACCTATGACTACAAAGTGCCTCCCTTCGCCCTTGTGTCGCCCAGGTCACTCATGCTCTCTTGCCCCCCCTTCCCCCCACTCCTTGTGCGGTGCCAGCATTGGTCTAACAGCCATACTGCCTTGTCCTGTCCAAAGTCCTTCCCCTGAACCCTTTTCTCTCTCATTCATTCCACCACTCACAACACACACAACACCACCCACCACCCACCAGCGCGAAGCAAGTGCGTTTGTGGGAGGTGGTACTACCACGGCCGCTCCAGCACGTGCCTTTTGAGTCGACTCAAGAGTCACCTCCAGCACATGCCTTTTGAGTCGACTCAAGAGTCACCTCCAGCACGTGCCTTTTGAATCGACTCAAGAGTCACCTCCAGCACGTGCCTGGTGAAGCTGCACTGCATGGCCAACCAGCCTGATCCTCTAAATTTTTTCCCTTCCTTATCTCCTGTTCACCACCCACCACCACACCAGCGGGGGGCGAACGCATTTGTGGGGGGGGGTGGTACTACCACGGCCGCTCCTCTAAACTCTTCTGCTTCTTTTTCTCTTCTTCACCGCCCACCACCCATCTCCCACCACCCACCAACCACCACCCATTGCCCACCACCACACCAGAGGGGAGCGAATGCGTTCGTGGGAGGGTGGTACTACCACGGCCGCTCCAGCACTCGCCTCGTGAAGCTGCACTGCGTGGCCGGCGCCAGCTGCACCGCCTGCAGGTGAAAATCACAGATTTCAGGTAAAATCACCAGAGCTCAGGTACCAGAGCTAAGGAGAAAACAACAGAGGCCATGTGAATGCCACAGAGCCAAGTGAGAGAGGAGAGAGACAAAAAGGAGAGAAGCTGGTAGTAGCGGTGGTCACCTCACATCACAGCTTCCAGGTCATGGTATGCTTGAGTTGCTTTTGAAATCCTTGAAAGTGAATGGTTCATCGTTTGCCTCACGTGAGGTCTATGCACGCATGTGTATTCAGGTTTCATGTGAGACTGTGTCCCGGTCCCCCCTCCCCCCACGAGAGCGTCCAGGTTTTCCAGATTTTGGGTTCTGGGGTTCACAGGCTTACCAAGTTTTGAGTACGAACATGCTTGCAAGCATCCCTCATATCACTGCATGCAGTTTTCACGCTCTATGCACGCAAACTGGTCCATTTCTTATTTCTTCTCTTCTTTTTATTCTGTTTTCTGTGGGCCCACAGAGCTAGCATCTGGGGAGTAAGCATCGAGCACAAGCATGCCTTCTGTCTACAGTGCAAAGCTACACCCACCAAGCCAGCTATCATAGCGAAACTCTTTGTGGAAGCCTTGTGTCAGCCCAAGTAGAATAAAGTACAGCCACCTCGTGAAATGTTTGTGCACAATAGTTATCAATAGTTAGTGCACAATTTTTTTGAATTGCTTCTAAACACTGTTGGGACAAATGCCTTAAGGTTAGTTGTCATGTCGAAACTTCAAAGACACAAGCGAAGCAGCGCAAATCGAAGCACCAGCGAGTCAACCCTCGGAGTTGATGTAAACGCTGGAGGTTACGAGAAAGTCAAAGGTCAGCGACCTTTGACTTGACAAATGCAGCGCGACAGCAAGGACACACAACTGACTCGACATTGAGCAGTTGCCCGAGTCGCACTGTATACGAACCGCAACAGTAAAGTAGTTACAATTATGTCTCTAAATCTCTGTACTCATACCGTATATATATTCTTGTATCCCTTTGTTTAATCAACTCACTTTGCCCTCACATACTAGCGCAAGGTGGTTCAAGGACTTCATTCAAACGCT